TTTCGGTTTGACCGTTGGCCTACGGCCAATGACTTCTTCCCAGCCTCGCCTCCCCTCCATCAAACTGACCAGAGTTCGATTCCCAAAGGAATTGAACTTTGAAAAAAACTGGATTTTTTTTGATTTACGCATGTCATCCTTGCGTAGAGGCCATAATTACCTTGCTCGGCCACGCCGTTTCGATTTTGAAATGTCCAACTCAAGGACCGCGGCCTCCTCAGCCTCCTACGGGCAGCTACCGGTCCTTTGCATGCCGAGCCCCTTGCTAAGCCCGCACCTCAAAATTCCCCACCCTCCCGAACGACCACAGCCGTTGAAAGTTGAATTGATGTTGAAGGTTTCAAGGGCATAAAACACAACCCTGGCCGGTTGTGAACAGTGCCATTGGTTAGTCATTCATTCAGACCTGCATTCACGCAGTGCCATTTGGAGCCCTGGAACCAAATTCACCCTGGTGGCCCTTCCTTCCTTTCATTCAGACCTGCCTTCGCACAGTGCCATTGGTTGCCCATTCATTCAGACCTGCATTCAGGCAGTGCCATTCGGAGCCCTGGAACCAAATTCACCCTGGTGGCCCTTTCTTCCTTTCCCTTGTCAGACTCGCCTTTCTTGTCTGCCCACGTGTTGCGAAGAGGTATGAGAAGGAGTTTTGCGTGCGGACGAGAAGCAGGGGCCAGCAGCTGCAAGGTCGTTGCAGGGGAGATTTGCTACTTTTTCCTGATAAGGCGCTATTGCGGCATCCCGGCATGCACCCTCCCCTCGCCCCCCTCTTGGATTCTCGCAATTCCTCGCCCCCCTCCCTGCCCCCTCCATCGCAGCTTGAACCTCCGTCACCGCCTGCTCGAGCGCACGCATGCACGGGCAGTTGGGCTCACCCCAGCGGCAATCACGGATTATATTGGCTTCCCCTGTGTGCCAGGGAAGGTACTGGTCGGCCGCACAGTGTACAGCCTCACGTAGTCAGTCCTCCCCCCGAGTTCTATCTCGGTGTTACTTACTCCGGATGCCTCCCGATTGCCAGTGAGAGGTCAAGGGGGTCCATCCATTCCAGAGGGTTGCTCTGTGCTGTGATGTGTTGCAAACTTGGAGTGCACACGAAGCCTGGTCCGCTCGGGTCCGAACCTGTCGGCTCGGCTCGGTTTGGTTGCGTGGGGTCGTCCCGTGCCGTAGATCCGCGCTTAGACTGATGTAGGGATTTTGGTTTGGGTTTGTTGGGCTGGGCGATGGTTGCCTGTTGATGGTGTGTGATGAAATGAGATGTACCGGGACTGGATGAGTGGGGTGGCCTCGCGCAGATGCGCGCTCGGTGGTGATTGCGACCGAGATGTACCTGGGTTAGCGGGTCGTCGGGAGTAGCAGGCGGTGTTCTGGGCCATGGTCGCGCCTCTCGCGTGCGCTGGGGATTCGCATCGCCGGTGAGCGGTTGGCGTCGCGGACGAGATGAAAGAGAAGGCGCGCGCTCGTTTTGAAAGTGTGGAAGTGTGTGTCCGTGCGCGCTGTCGGTGGAAGAGGCACGTGCGCGGAGGAGGGCGCGCCGAGGAAGCCCGATCGGTGACACGGGCGGGTATTTTGTGCGCATGATGGTCCAGGTTAGACACACACACAGAGAGAGAGAGAGAGAGAGAGAGAGAGAGAGAGAGAGAGAGAGAGAGAGAGAGAATTGTGATGAAATGAGAGAGGGGGCATAACGGAGGTTATCTCGGCAGGCTTTGAGCTTGGATCTGGAGGAGGCGAAGGTATTTGTTTGTCGATTAACCTGATGCTTGCTCGCCGCACGAATGGCAAGGGAGATGTTGTGAGACGGAAAGATAATGAAAGAAGGGCTTGTCTGCGGAGGCCGGCGGTAGGGGTAGCTGTTCCTGCTGCACCAGCAAATCTTCACTGATGCGTTTGTGTACTGACTTGTAAGAACGCGCGCGGGCATTCGCACGTACGGAGTCTTGTCAATGCCCACGCGGACATACAGACATGGTCATACACGCGTGTCGTGCGAGCAGAAAGATGATGAGTAGGGGAAGAGAAGCCCAGGGAGGGAGAGACACATGGTATGTGGTCGGATGGTGGGAGGAGAGCGACTTCCTGAATGCGGGTGATAAGCCTGGAACTTGCACTGCCAGTTCGTGACCAGGGGAGGATCTGGTGTGGAGAAGGGGGGGCGGGAAGGAGGGGAAAGAGGAGGGGCTGGCGGAGCGGGGCGCGCATGCGCGAGTTTCGCTGGAACTTTTCGTGGAGCGTAAGGAGTTTCGCTGTGACACTACACGTTAAATATAATACCACACGTTCGATCCATCCATTGACAATCCCTGTGCAGGTCTATTCTTTGAGAGTTGTATCTAAATCGACTACCGAGTGTGGACGGCAACAGAGAGGTTTAAGATGGGGGAAAGCGGGGAAGAAGACTATCTTTGTCCCATTTGTCTGGAGGACATGGATTTGACGGACAGACACTTCACGCCGTGCAAATGCGGTTATCAGGTAAGTCAGCCAGGGTGTGCAATCGGTGTATTTGACCGGGAAGGCGAAGGAAGGGTGGGAAAAGTTTTTTTTGGAGCAGCGGGTGGATGGTTGGCGGGAAGATTGGCCGTTTGAGGGTACAATATTAGTCAGGGCTGGGAGGAAGGGCAGGAGAACGGTGGAAACGGAATGGTTTGGCTGGGGGTATGGTAGAGTTTATGGACGAGTGACACGGTCTTACTCTAGCGGTCTGGCACTGAGGAGGAAATGGAATATAAGGCTGGTTGTGGTACAGAATGCATGTATCGCCATTCATTGCGGTGGTTTATCTCGGCACGACCCTGGGAAAGGATCATTAAAAGAAGTCATGGGGAGTTCTGTCTCTGTCTGTCGGTCTGTCGGTCTGTCCGCACCTTATGCACGGGTATGTGTGATTCGCTCCGTGTTTTTTTGTTGGCATTTCTGGCCTTGGTCGTCCAAGGATTCTCTTGGGGAGGTGGTGGATGGGTGGACGGTGGGTGGAGGATGAACTCGTTGTTTGTTGGTGGGTGTACGGCTGGGCGTCGTCCGTGCGAAGCTCGCCTCTGGGTAGTGGCTCTTGCCCCGCTGTATACGGTATATACGCCCTGTTGAGGCGTTTGGCAGACTTGCGCGTTTGACAGAGTAGTTAATGATGGGTAGTGGCAGTGGGATACTGACGTGTTGTGTGTGGGGGGGGGGGGGTTGTCGGAAGGGCGACTCTTGCCGCTTTATTTGTAAGGTCTTCCCCTCCCCCCCACACCCCCCCTCCCCCCCCTCCTTTCTTTTGTTGGATTGATTGGTTGGTTTGTTGGTGTGTGGCGCTGGTCTCCGTTCTGTGCGCAGATATGCCTGTGGTGCTGGCACCAGATTATGGAGATGGCAAGGAAGGACAATCAGGAGGGGCGGTGTCCGGCCTGCAGGACGCCTTACGACAAGGAAAAAATTGATCAAGCTGCGCCAAGTCCTGGCGAGTAAGTGCTCCTCCCTTTTTTTTTTTTTGTCTGTAAAGCTCCTGACGAGAGGGAGACATATTGGACTCCTCATCCATGACCCCGCGTGTGTCTGATTGGCTGATTGGGTGATTGAATACGACGACGCGTAGTAAGAGGGGTGGTGTGCGCGGTGCATGACATTTTGTCCGCGTCTCCGCTCGGCCCACCTGCCTTTGCACGGTCACGGTGTCCCACTGGAGTAGTACCAACCAGAGGCTCTGAGAGTTCTCTCGAGGGAGGAGGGGCCGAAGTGGTCGTGGAGGAGGAGGCATGCGAGGAACGGACGTGCGCGTGGAAAGGATGCATCTGTGTGTGCATGTGAATGAGGAATGAATTATAGCGATGGAACAAGTAGTCCGTGGAACAAGGTGGTTGCTACTGGAATAATACAATCAACAAATGGCCAACTTCGTGTTGCCGAAGTCCAAGGGAGGGAAGTGAGCAGAGAGATTACGTGGGTGAATGGTGTAGGCGGGACGAATGTAGGGTCACATGTGTGTGTGTGTGTGTGTGTGTGAGAGAGAGAGAGAGAGAGAGAGAGAGAGAGAGAGAGAGAGAGAGAGAGAGAGAGAG